GGGGGGGGGGGGGGGGGGGGGGGGGAAGGGGGAGAAAATGGATACAAAAGCGGACACGTGGCTAAACAGATGCATTTTAATGGATAATGGAAAAACATACGAAGGTTGCAAAGGCTGGAAGATAGTTGGAACGAGAAGTAAATGCAAAAAAATAAAATAAGTAAAACCGTCAGAGAGCCTTGGATTCATTTGTGAGTGAGTGGACTGACAGGCAGACACTTTTAGACGAACACGTGAACGAAAAGGCGAGCAGAGCGACGGACAGATCGACACGTGTATGACTGCAAACCCCCAAGGTTTCCTAAAAGGGAATGGATATATGGATAACGTCCGAGCGAAAAAGACGAGAATGGAAGATTGGGGGTGATGGATGGATGATCTCTGGCAAAATTTATGCAATGAAGAAAATCATTCAGATTTTTTACTGTAATAAGAAATGAATTACTCGGCTTCTATCTCTCCACGTGCGAAAAAGAACTTCCACGTGCAAATACAGTAAAATACAGTGAAAATGATATCATTGATTGTAAACCACCATCTATACCGCGAAAATTGGGCCAGCCCTCGCAGTCAGTAGTGGGGCGGAGAGAGAGGGAGAGAGAGGGAGAGAAAGGGAGAGAAATGGAGCGAGGGGTGCGGGAGGGAACTCTGGCCATTCGATCGTCAAAACCAACGGGGACCAACTGGGACCAACGGGGACCACCGGGGACCAACTGCGAAAGCGCGGTCCTCCTGATAACCAGGACAGCCGTAAAAGGTCATGGTGGTTTGACACAAGCCGAACTCACGTGGCAAGGCCGATTAATGATCTTGTTACTCATTACAGTAATTAATCTTTACTCCACGTTAACCGTCAACCAGAGGACCGAAGCGGAAAAAAATTGATTAGATCCATTAATTACGTCCGCACCGTCCGATTGGGCGTGCTCCATGTTCGGTGGACTTGATCGAAAAGCAGCCGCGCAGTCCCTTCAACCGTCCTCTCTCTCTCTCTCTCTCTCTCTCTCTCTCTCTCTCTCTCTCTCTCTCTCCTGGCGCTTGACTGTTCAACGAAAGGTACTCAACTCTACATGACAGCCCATAGATCGAGTGCTGAGTGTTCAAGTGCAGAGGAGGAAAGAACAGGAAGAAGAAGAAGAAGAAGTTTCTGACGGCTTCACACTTTACGGGGTATAGTGTGCTATGATGACCGTAGATACTCACCTAGGACGGGACCCCGACCGGCCTCGTCGATACCCATAACGCAGGGTGTCGCATACCACTCGGGCGACGGCTGATCCGTCGCCGCGCCGTTCGTGTCCGCATCTCCAAGACGCCCGTCCTCCATAGCCTAGCTTGGCCCCTTTGCCCAACGCCACCTTCTCTACACCAGAGATTAGACCAATCAACGGCAGACTGTGCTCGTCACTTTCGAGGGATCATGGACAACAACGCCCAAGATAATCCGCACATATCTTTCTCAGCATTGTGGCTTTTCGATAAAGTGATCTACGGCAGACTGTGCTCGTCACTTTCCAGGGATCATGGACAACAACGCCCAAGATAATCCGCACATAGCTTTCTCAGCATTGTGGCTTTTCGATAAAATGATCTGCTGAGATCACGCAAAGTATCTGTGCTGATCAGCTTAATATTTATATTTTATGTTTAAAATATACACATATGCGCACCAGCCCGCGGCGCACTTAGTGCCAACCAGCTGTGCTACCGGTAGTCCGCTTGATACCTCTGATCGGGATTAGAGGGGTGTTTGGCCAACACGGGTGTGAGTGTGAGTGTGAGAGTGAGTCTGAGGGGTTTGTGTGATGTGTGGGAGAGTGCTGGCCTTAGACACCTGCTGCTATTTGCTGGGGGTAGGGGAAGCTGAAAAGGGAGGGTCAGCTATTGGCGAAATGCTCGGTCTTTGGAGCCCTACCGGCGGCCCCACCCCATGCCTGACTGCCGCTGTTGGGGGGGGGGGGGGGGGGGGAAGAGGGGGGGGGTGTAAGATGAATCCCTCTAAGTTTGAGGTACCTATGCTTGCAGGGGTCCCCTCTATATAGCCTTAGGAGTGGCATGGGTCCCCTCTCTATAGCCTTAGGAGTAATGGTAGGTAGGTAGCGAAAGGAAAAAAGAATTTTTTGAGAGAAGAACATAGTGTAGATTTTGAAAGGGAAAAAAAAAGGAAAGGGATAATTTGCAGGTTGAGATATATGCCAAAATGCAGCTGCCAGGCCAGTGCTCAATGTCGGCCTTGCTGATCGGGCCTGGGCACTTCGCATTTGGGCCTCGGAAACGTTGGCAAGTACTGGGGCAGTTTGCAAAATTGGACGGTACCCAGTAGGGGTATAACGCAAAGATGGAGGGTCCAACCGATGCCAGGGGCATTTCAGAAAAAAAATAAAAAAAATTGTCAGGGGGGCATTCAGCTCTATTCAGATCTTTTTGGGGCATTTTGGCATATACTTGGCAAATCCCCACCCCCCACAAGAAGTCTGCACATAAAACAAAAATGTCCCGGCTCACCAAGGCACTCGGTTGGGATCTTCGGTGGGACGCAGAAGCAAAGTGGGGTCAGAGAGGGCCAGCCCTATAAACCACCAGTTCACATGAGCCTAAGTTGAGAAGCTACCTTCTTTCTTTTTTTTTTTTTTTTTTTTTACAAGCCAACTTTGCAATTCATTAGAGAAAAAAAAGGGGACGCCGGGAATCCCTCCACATACAACCCGGAAATCAGTAGCCTCTGGGACCATTACACAGTTTATGGTGCAGGCGCTGGGAATTATAGTCCAGTAGCAGATATGGCCGAATCCAGACCGCTGCCCTGACATTTCCCAACCCTGGGAATAAAAAAAAAACAACGCCTTCACGGCCCGCAAAACCAAACAATACCAGAAACTCTCCACTATTCTATCACCAAACAAAAACAGCAACAAAAGGAAGAAAAGGAAATAAAAGTGTAACACACCCAAAATACCGTATCCCCGAATCTAAACCAAGCTAGATACCATCCTACCACTAGTCTACAAAATCAACTATTGCGTTGATAAGTAATGCAACACTCCCTCCCCAAACACACCCTCCTGCCTGTCTACTGCGACCTACTCAATCTCCCAGGGCAACCGAGTGTTGCAGGTTGCAAGAAATTTATTCTACCTCTGGAGCAGCCATTGGCTGAAAATTAACCTATTGCCCTGAGCCTGCAAGTGCACCTTAAAAAAAAAAAAAAAAAAAAAACTGCAAGTGCGCCTTTTGATGTCATAATTTAAAGTTATAAGAATAAAAATAAATAATGAAGAAAATGAAAATTTTCTTCATTATTTATTCTAAGTACAAAGTCATCTGCCACTTCAGTTACCGGCCCGGGCCCGAATTGAAAAGCTCTTACCGCGTTAGGTTCCTCCCTATCTGATAGATCAGGTGAGGGGAGGAGAGTAGAAGTAGGGGGTTGTGGTAAGGGGTAGACTTAGGGGTAGGATGGTCGTAGAGGTGGGTCCCTGCTTTTTGAACTTTGCAGTTTGTTGTATGGTACGGCACTTCAAGAAGGTCGATCCCCTCTTTTGCAGGTGGGCTACGGTCCACGTAACCGAAGATGGGTAAGGGTCCGAGTAATCCATGGTTCAGAGTCATTCCCCGTTGTTGGTGAGGAATTCCCAGTCTCATTGGTTTCAAACCGACACAAACCTACGTAATGCTCTACCCATACACGGGTAAGCAGAGTTGCTCTGTCCAAGAAATCACAGCAAACACTTCTTTCGCAAACTCGTTTTGTAATACAATCTCACAAAGGTTCCGCCGTACACCGACTCATCAGTGCTTTGGTTCCATTGATTTCAGGTTGGGGAAACTACCTTAAGTTTTCGGAATGCTCTGCAATCTTTCACCATATGGATTTCCGGATATTTCAACAACTTCGTGCATGGGTCTTTACGATTCATGCCTGGGCCGGTCGCAAAAGCGGCAGGCACTTTGAAAAGGCCCAATTGCACGCTCACAGCCTTGGAAGGTAGTGTAGTCAACTTAGGCTCGTGTGAAGTGGCGGTGGTGAGGAAATCCCTTGGTTATTCCCAACATCGGCTGTGACGCTTCCCCATTACCATGCCTTTACTACTTCGGGGTACCGGACCACAATGGCTGGAGGTGACAGCCAAAACGAAAACAAAAAAGTCGCACTGGCGGTTCGTTCAGACTTGGCGCGCAGGGTGCTTTGAGGCTCGGCATCGATAGCTGGGCTAAGTACTGGTGGTTAAAAAAAAAGGAAACATAGGGGTAAAGTTCTTTTTCCTGTTTTTTTAACACATAGGAACTTCAGCAGAGTCTCGAAAATGAGTTATAATTGCAGTATGGGGCAAGATACAGTTGTAATTGCACTTAGGGCACCAAACCTGCCCAGAAAGTTGGGTTGTATACATTGCCCGAACTGCAATTCGAAACTGTATCTTGGCCCATAGTGCAATTACAACTCATTTTTGTGACTCCCACGTAGTTTTCCCAAAAAGAAAAGAAAAGAAAACAGGAGGGAACATGTGGGCAAGTATCCTTGTCTGCGGGTCTCAATCTGTCCTATGGGTATCACACCGGCCATCGATCTCCCTTATCTATAGCCAGTTCGGTAATCCGTGCAATGAGGACCTTACCCCAGGTGTGGGTCAAACCCGGAAGTCCCGCTTGCAAGGGTGGGCCAAACCCCCGTGGTTTACGTTTCTAGCATCTTCTTCTACATGAAGTGTGCGCAGTGTGAGTCAAGTTTCTCTTATTGTTTTCTCTAATCTCTAATACTCTAAAGGAAATAGAGGGTCTCGCGTGAGCGTCCCAGGTGAGCCCCCGTGCACAGTGTTGGGACAGCGCCCTGCAGGGAGCAGCCGAGCAGAACGACGTAGGAGGCCAACGAAACGGTGCGGGGCGGGCAGAAACCGTGCGAGGCAGGTGCGAGGCAGTCGGGGTGGAGGGAAATGGGAGGGCACAAGGGGAGGGGCCGGGGTTAGGGGGGAACGGGCCGACGAGCCGCGTGGGGGCTGAATCGGTGCGAGGGGGCGCGGCCAGTGAGAAACGGGAGGATGCAGGGGGAGCACTAGCGGTTAATGAAGGGCAAAAAATTCGAGGTTTTTCTCCACGTCGCTACAAGCAATGTTGTTGAAAATTTCGCAAACAAACCATGCAGGGGCATAATACAAACAACAAAAAACCAAACAA